GATGCAGGCAAGGTCTGCAGGCGGTTCCTGAAGGGGCTGGCATCACCCCGGATCTGCCCAGTGTCCGTGTTAGGGGGTTGCTGCAGCAGCGGCTTCCTGCGAGCTGGGTTCGTCACCGAGCTGGACTTCAGTGCCTTCATCCTGGCCAAGCCCGTGTGCCTGGATCTCCTGGTAGACCTCCTGGTGCTCTTCCTTCCAGGTCTGGAACTTCTCCGAAGTCAGCGCCGCGTCGCCCAGGAGCTGGTCCAGGACCTGCAGCTCGGCTTCTTTCGCCTGCAGAGGGGAAACCGCATTCCCCACAGCTCAGTGCTCACGCCTGGATACGGTCCAGCCCACACCCCACGGGCTGGATGGGCGAAGAACCTCTCTCGTCCTTCCCAGCCCCTATCCCTGCTGCGCTCCTAGCCCCCGGCACAGACCAGGTCCTACCCGATGGATAAGCTGCTACTAGAGGCACACATGCCGAGTAAGGCTGGAAGGAGTCATAATGAGTCATGAACAGCCAAGACGGCTTGCTCAGTTTTAGGGGTGCCTTTCACATAGAAATTAAGATGCAGTAAAGGCCTAGTGCCATTTGACCGAGGACAATGCTGCCTGTATAGCCCACAGGCCTCCTTCAATGGCTTAAACCATATTAAAGATCTCTTCTTGCCCAGGACACAGGGACAGATTACCAAGAGTGGCGCTGGACTCTCAGCCAAAGGGGGATGAAGTGTAGGTTAGGGGGACACGTGGGATGGCTGAGACCAGGACGCTCCTGCCTTGAGCAGGGGGCCAGGCTCGGTGACTCCTCAAGGTCCGTCCCAGCCCCATGTCTGCGCGATCCTAAGGGTGCTGTGAACTGCCCAGCCCCTGCCCCAACCCCACTGACCTTGAGCGTGCTCTGCAGAGCCCGGATCAGGTGCACCTTCTCGTTGATGTGGGGGTTGGCGTTGCGCTTGATGAAGGACCGGCGGTACTGCTCGTGGGTGAGGAACTGCTGCCGGCCAATCAGCGACACACCGCCTTGCTTCAGACACTCGATCAGGGACTCCAGGTCTTCATTAGCAGCACCTGCACTGGGTGCAGAGGGGGAAGCCCCTGCCCTCCCAACACACACACAGGAGATAAGCTCCATAGCAGCGCAGAGGGACTCAGGGGGGGGTAGTCGGGACCTGCTTTTGGGACAGATCCTCATGAGCATCAGTGCAGGAGGCAGCTGCTCTGCGTTCCTGAGGATGCCAGCCTCCACGAGGCCAGACACGGCCCAGGCTGTGCCAGGCTTGTGCCAGACAGTCCAACACCAAACAGCTGGCAAACCCAGGCTGGACTCTGGGAAGGACCAAGTTGAACTTGGGGGATAGAGCAGGGAGGACGGGGGCCCAGTAACAGAGGAGCCCTAATGCAGCCCCCCTCCCCATGCACCCCTGGCCCCAGGCACCACAGGCAGCTGGAGCATTAAAGGTGGCTGGAGAGAAAAGACTGGCCAGTAAGGGGTGATGGGGACCCCTAGCCAGAGCAATGGTCAGCACAAGGTGGGTGGAGCGGCTGGACTTACCCAGGGGGGAGCGGGGTGCGGTGCTGCTGGGGCTGCCCAGAGGGCTCCCCGCCGGCCTGGGGGAGCTGCTGCTGCTCCGCACTGCTGGGAGGGGCTGGGGTCTCTCCGGGGTGCGCTGCAGCTCCCGGCGCTTTGGCTGCGGAAGAAGACGATGCCCTATTACCGCCGAGTGGGGCAGCAAGGAGGCTCCCATCCCAAGGAGCCCGGGGGAGGCTGAAGCCCTTGCACCCCAAAACCGTTGCAACAGAAAAAGGCAACAGCCCTGCACAAAGGGGGGTGCCCCCCAGCTCTGTCCCCCTGGCAGTGACACTGTCCTGCTGCCGGCACTCACTGGCTCAGAGCTGGGCCTGGGGGAGTCATCGTCGGGGTCCTCAGCCTCCGTCTCGCTGTAGCAGTCTGGTAAGGGAGACAGAGAGGGATCAGCCAGCCCGGGGCCAAGAACATGTCACCCTTCTCTTGCCCCTTCTCCTGGGGTTGAAAGGGTTAAGCCTCACCCATCCCCTCCCACTGGGGCCAGCCCCAGTGGACAGCTGCTTTCTACAGCGGGGGGCAGTGGGCAGAGCCTCGTGGCACCCAGAACTGGGATCTAACCACTGGACCTCATTGCTTCTCATCCACCACTGATGCCGGAGGGAGTCTGGCCACGGATGCCTGGTGGGGGTGAGGTCCAGGCCAGGAAGGGGAGGGCTGCCAGGCAGATGGGGAGCAGGAAAGGGCCCATCCTGACCCACCAGGCTCCTACCTTCCTCTCTGTGCGGTAGCGACTGGTGAGCCAGGTTGTATTTGGTCTTGGCAGCTATCAGACGACTCACCCACCTAGGAAGGCGAGCGGAGCGGTTACTCTCCCAGCCTGCAGATACCCCCTCCCAGCAGCCCCCCGGGGGGCGGGGACGCCAGCTCCGCACCATGCGCCCCTGCCCGGCCTTCCTATGGGCAACTGGGGAGCAAGCGCGCAACCCCTCTTCTACCCTCACAACCCGAGCCACCCGCGCAGCTGGGTGCCCAAACCCCTGTCCTACAGCCGCCGGGCAGTGCTGCGGGGCTGCCAACAGGACATTGCAGACACTAGCCGGAGCTGCAGCCTGCAAACCAGAGCACGTTCAGCGCCTGCCCTGGAGCCTCGTCCGCAGTCACGTCCAGGCGATCTCTGCAGATCACCGCTGGGTATCGCCCAACCGCTGAGCAGGGACAGCCTGGCCCTGCCCCACCTGGTTACTCACATGCTCAGGTCTGACAGGGTCTCGGCCGCAAACACGAAGGGCTTGTACTTCTCGTGGGACAGCTGGAAGACACTGGAAGCACAAAATGCAGCCGTTTCCTCCACCATCCCACCAGGACCACCCCAAAGCACCCCCTGCCCTCCCACCATATCTGGGCTCCATCACAATGTGCCCAGCGCGTGCCCACCCCGTGCCTGCTCCTCGTTGCACTCCAAATTCAGCTCTCCCTCCACGCTCACCCAACTGAGACAAGGACCAGCGCTTGCCCAGCTACGCGGCAGTCCTGAAACGCCCAGACAGCACCTTTGGCTGGGATGGGAGTCCTTGATCACCCCCCAGCGGAGGGTCTGGCCCCATTGCTCCACTCCAGGGGCAGATCCCGGCTGGGGCCGCCCCA